GCAGCAGGAGGAGCTGCAGCTCATCCACGTAGGTGAGTGATGGCAGCGGGCTGTCAGCGGGGGCTGTCAGGAGGAGCTGTAAACCCCGGCCCGGCTGTGGAGGGCTCTGCTCCCTGTGCGGACGGGGGTCGGCGTGGGCAGAGCACACCGAGATATCAGGGGCATTCGTGGCCAGCAGCTTCCGGCTGATCCCGGTGGACCCTGCTCCCTCCTGGCCATGGCTAGAGCGGTCTCAGATGCCCCTGGCACGAGGGTCTCGTCATGTCCCCGCAGATCAGGGATCTGACCGTGACTCTGTTCCCCTGCCTTCCAGCTCTGGACGACTTGGCATGTGACAGCAGCCCTGCCATCCGTGGCCTAGCAATTCAAACACTCTACATTCTCAAGGCAGTACAGAGAACTCGATATTCCATTTTCGAGAATCTGCAAGGTCAGCTGTCCAGGGCATGGAGGACACGGCCTCGTCTATTGAGCCTTGGCTGGCTGCGCTGCTGGAGATCTGCAGAGAGCTGATGTGGGAGGCTCTGTCTGCTGGGACCTCCTGAGCCAGCATTAATTTTCTTTTCTTCAAGATTGTTCTTCTTTTAATTTTTCTTTAGGATATAAATATAGGATGTGTTAGAATACAGAGATGCTAAGGATCTTTCTTTCACTGCCCAGGGTCTGCAGGGCATCGGGGAAGAGGGGGAAAGGGTGCCTGTGCTCAGCAAGCTGCCCAGGCATGCAGTGTTGCAGGGAAATTGCCCAGAAGCCCCTTGGCCTTTGGTGGTTGTGCTGAAGCCTTTGTGCTGGTGACAGAGCGGGTGGGCAGGGGCTGGAGCTGCAGGGATCCCTGCGAGACCGGTGCCTGGAGATGGCGACGACCCCTGTCCCTGCCAGGAACCGCCATCGGTGTCCTCCTGCCCGGGTGTTGCTGGCTGGATTGCTGAGGGCTCCATGGTGCCTCTTGATCGGGCTTTTCTGGAGCTCCTGTGGGGCTGCAGTGCTGCTGCTGGGCAGGTTGGCCTGGCTGGGGGAGACCCTGAGGGGACAGGCACTGGGAGGCCATGAAGGGATGAGGGGCTGTGGAGGCCCTGATGGGACAAGGCTGTGGGAAGGTACGAGGTGTACATGTGAGTGAGTTGTGCCAGGAGGCTGCAAGTGGACAGTAGGCGGCTGAGGGGCCGGGGTGGCGGGAAGCCCTGAGGAATTGGGTGTCAGAGGCCATAAGAAGCCCCTGGGCACCCACTCTGTTCCTGAAGCCCGGCTGCTCTGGTTTTTCCCCACAGCATCTCCCAGGACTGCTGCTGAAGCCCTCGAGGCTGGGACACCACCTCACCAGGGAGGTGGGGACACCCTCAAGATTCCCAGGCTGGCCTGGCTTGTGATGGAGACTGAGTGCTACCAATAAGGGGCAGAGGCAGGGCTAGTGGCTAGGCTGGTCCCCCATGGCTGTCCAGGCCACGGTGCTGTCACCAAGGCCCCCCTGATGCAGAGCTCTGGCCCGCAGTGCTGTTGCCACTATGGAGAGGGCAGCGATGTCCCCTTGAGCAGGGCTTCTTAATCTCTGCTGCCCAAGCAGCTCTGTACCCCACAGATACAGCACCAGAGCGTGCACAGGAACAGCAGGACCCCAAACGCCAGCACCTGCTCAACAAGGCATCTTCACCAGCTGGGATGCCCAACAGGGGGACTGTGGGCACAGTTGCCTGTGGTTTGACCAAAGGCTTCAGCAGAGTTGGCCACAATGGTTTGCTCTTGGCTTACCAGCCTCACAGCAACGCTTGGCAGCTTCAGCTGCCGCCTGTCCTCCTGACTGACTTCGATGGCCGTGCTCAAGGGCAGACTCACCTTCCACAGGCAGGCGTCCCAAGGCAGCGGCATTGGTGCCATTGTGAGAAAGACACTCTGGTGGGACACGAGCCCTGCGCTGCAGCTGCCCTCCCTCTCCTCCATGCAGGCACCTTAAAGACATATGCATCAGCTTTGAAACTAAATCCTGGACTTGCTTGGAACAAAGGAAGAAGCAGCAGATGCTGAAGAAAAGCATGGACTTATATGGCTCAGTTTTGCTCTCCGCTTGGAGAATCACAGAATCCCAGAGCACATTGTGTTGGGAAACATCATAAAGATCATCCAGTTCCAACCACTCTGCCATGGGCACAGGCGGTGTGCAGGCACAGCTGTCACTAGAATTGGAAGAACACTTTTCCATGTTTATCTTTTCCTCTCCTGGATTTCAAGCTAACATGAAAAAAAAAAAGCTGGTTACAGCTGAATTTTGTAGCTCATAGGACTAGGAATAGGAATCTCCAGTGGGCCATGGTATGTCCATTCAGCCTTTGTTAGATCACCCAGTTGGAGCTCAGCCCTGTGCAGCCCAGGCACAGGCACCAGGTTGGTCCATTTCAGCATCCCTAAGTCTTTGTGGCTTCCTGTGCAACCTGAAGCTCCTGAATCCGTTCTTGAATTCCCAGTTACTGCAGTGCAGGACATGAGAACACAAGAATAGAGTGTTTGGCTCAGTCTTGGCTTTGCTGCTCCTGCCTAAAGTAATAATCAGGAGTTTATGCCGATGTAAAGGTATAGCTGAACACCAGGGACTTTTTCTGTAGTGTCTAAAACTAAAACCTTGTGTGACTGTTCAGAGACACTAAAATCCAGGGTGAAAATGACAACTTTGGTATTTCAGAATCCCAGAAATTTTGACATGTGATTTTTCTGGTCAAGGATTTTAATGCTAATGCGGAAATTAGAAAAATATTAAAATTTGTTTTCATTGGCAATCCTTTTTAAATGGCATCAGCACACTTATAGGGGACAGGGTATGACACTGGGGACAGTACTTGGCAGTTAATGGCTTCAGATGTGGGAGATTAATGTTTTGCCTGGGTTCACCCAGGAGTTCAAGTTTTCCCAGGGCTTTGATCGACTGGCCATTGCAGGTAACTTTCACTAAATGCAGAGGGATGTAACAGCAGAACTTCTGGAGAATGTGTCCTAGGGACAGGGAGAAAACCTTGAAAATGATCAGCAGGCCCTGGAAAGCTTTAAAAAAAATAGTAGGTGTAGCCCTTTGACTTTTCAGTCATGACTCTTTGGGTCTGGAGGAAATGTTTGCCTTGCATCAGCTACAAATTTGTGGCAATGACCCTGTAAGAACTGCTCTTTCTGACCTGGCAGGCACAGGAAAGCCTCTGAAACTTCAAATATTTGAAGTTTCAAAGGCTGAAAGTAATGAAGTGAGGCCTCTGAGATTCTGCTGCAGGCTGTGATGTTTCAGAACACCCATCTGGTATGTGTTCCTGTGGTTTTGTTTGCTGTAACCTATGCTTTTTGTTACTTCACTCTGAAAGTCCTCCTCCTCCTCCAGCAGTAGGAGTTGAGGAGGAAGTTGTGTCCATTGGACCTGCAGTGCCAAAAGGATCAGACACTGCATAGAATCACAGAATCATTTCAGTTGGAAAAGATCTCCAAGACCTTGCAGTCCAACCTGTGCCCAATGCCCACCTTGTCCTCAGCCCAGAGCACTGAGTGTCATGTCCAGGTGTTTCCTGAACATCTCCATGGATGGGAACTCCCAGCCACCTTGGGCAGCCCCTGCCAAGGCCTGACCACCCTTTCCATGGAGAAATTCCTGGTGTCCACCTTGACCTCTGCTGTCCCAGCCTGAGGCTGTTCCCTCTCCTGTCCTTGTTCCCTGGGAGCAGAGCCCAACCCCCCCGGCTGTCCCCTTCTGTCAGGGAGTTGTGCAGAGCCAGAAGGGCCCCTCTGAGTCTCCTTTTCTCCAGGATGAGCCTCCCCAGCTCCCTCAGCTTCTCTTCATATGACTTAAATGTGTGGCAGAGGATACCAGCTTAGGACTCTGTATGAGCAGTTAGAGAAATTGGAATCTCAAAGGCTTCTTCTCCTTCCCAGGGGGTCAAGGGCTGGAGAATATTCAGCAGCCCACGGGCAGTGTCTGTATGGGCTATGTGATTTTCTGCCAATCTCTCAAGGGACACACAGATGAGGTATTAAGAGAATCAAAGCTGAGACTGTTGTGTCTGTGAATTATGGATCAAGTCTCAAATCCTCTGTTAGTCTGAGCAAAATTTAGAAGCCTTTCTCCTCCCTCTATCAGCTGATGCCAATATAAGTCTTCTGCAGGTATGGCAAGGTTACTCAGAAAATGATAGAACACTTTGGGTTGAAAGAGATCTGAAAGCCCATTTCATTCTGATCCCCCCTGCCACGAGCAGGGACACCTTCCACTGTTCCAGGTTGCTCCAAGCCCCATCCAACCTGCCCTGGAACACTTCCCAGGTTGGGGCAGCCACAGCTTCTCTGGGCACCCTGTGCCAGGGCCTCACCACCCTCACAGGGAAGATTCCTTCCCAATATCCCGTCTAACCCTGCTCTCTGGCAGTGGGAAGCCATTTCCCCTTGTTCTCTCATGCCATGCCCGTGGTGAAGAACTTCTCAGGAATCTTTTGGTTTTGCTAATGGCACACCACAAAAGCTATGGAATAACAGAGCTATGGAAAATTCACTGCTGTGAATTTACTTGTTTTTTCTTTTATCAGAAGGGACATCATTAACTTTCATCTGTCATTTGAATGCCCAGGAAACAAGGATCAGGAATAGTTTCTCAGTGCCTGGAGTGCTGTTTAGACTGTTTTCAGCATATAGGCTTATGATGATGCTGGATGATTTACATTTTAAAGGAAAATGTGTCTTTTAATTACCAAAATTTCACTCACAAAGAGAAATTATTGTTCCAGTTGTCTGGGAACAGAGCTGACTTGATTGCTGGGAGTGAAAGAGTCTGAAAATAGTCATCTAAGAGAGGCACTTTAATTTCCTCATTTCTTAACTAAGGCCTGTTTGGTGTGTAGATTAAATTGGATGCAACTCCCTCCCTCAGTCCTAAGCTGCCTTGGCATCTGGAACTTGCTGGTGGCAGAGTCCAAGTTTATTCCTGAAGCTGTCAATTCTCCATCTCACCTTTCATCACTTCTCTATGTGCCATGGCAGCGCTCACCACCTTGTGCTTCCTAGCAGTCCTTTTTGGCAAATGCTGGAAGCTGGGAACAAAGAGAACATGATGAAAATCTCAGACCTCCTCAGAAACCCAGAACTTCAGTCTGAAAATGTAAAATTGGTTCCACTGCTTAAATATACTGAAAGCAGAGCTTCAGGGAGCTGGAATAGCAAACATCTCTGTTCTCTAGGTGTAAAGCCAGGGCTCTGCAGAGGAACTTCGATTTCATTAAACAGTTTCCAAGTCCCACTCAGCATTACTACAATCCTGATGGCAGTAATTCTTAAGACCTGCTCTAAGAAGACAATCTTTAAACTCTACAGTTGGCTCAATATTTAAAATTACTCTGGGACTGGCTACAACACTGTGCCTCAGTGGTTGGGAAGGAATTTTACATGTTCAGCTCCTAGTGGAGTATTAACTGGTCCCAACATGCAAAAGGCAAATGATTCCCTTCTTAGGAATGAAGTGGAAAGCTAAATGTTATCCAGACCACTGCAGCAAGGTGAAAAACAACAAGGATATTGGGACTCTGAATCTCTGAATGCCATGGTCTCAATGTTTGAATGGTTTGAGCAGTCTTGTCCCACGTGTTTCGTCACCACCTCTGAGATTCTGCTGCAGAGAATTGCAACATTTTTGCTGCAATTGCAGAGAAACCCTGGCAGAAGTGGGTAAAAGAGCTCACCTGAAGGTTTTCTCTTGTTCTGAGGCCGCCTGGTCTTGGCTCTGGCAGTGGGAAAGTTTGGCACAGCACAACAGGCTGTTCCTGAGAGTCTCCAGCTCGGTTTAATTCCTTTGCATTGTGGTGCTCTGGCGTGGCCACAGCCACAGCAGAACATTCCTGGCTACAGGTGCGAGTATCCAAGAGCTAGGAGAGAACCTATTCAGCTGCATGGAACAAGAAGAATGGATGTAGAGAGAGGCTCTGTATTTTGACTGGGAAAAGTTTCAGTTGGCATATTCCCCATTCCCAATGCTGAAATCCAAGCTGGCTGGTAAAAAGTCCCCACCCCTTTTTCTTTTTGCTTACAAGCAGGAGGAACATTATGCTTTTTCTTATTGAATTTGAGCATCCTGCGAGTTCTTCTGTTTAGGAAGTTCTTAAAATGACCCCACGCTGCAGAATTCAAGTGGAACTGCAATTTGAAGGTTAATGGAGGAATTTCACTCATGGGATCTTCAGAATGGACATGCTTACACCCACCTCTGCCTTGTGAACAGGCAGAAGCAGGTGAGCTTGTTTGAAGGCAGCAGTTTCCAACATAATTTTTGAAAAATCCCATTAAATTTTGGGCTGAAACTGCATGCCCCAGTGATCTGCAATGTGCCTCGTGTCTAGGAGGTTTGTCATGGGTGCTTTGGTCAGGAGGGTGATGGTGGCAGGTCCTTGTGGTGAATTCCCCTCTGGTGCTGGGGAATCCTCAGGGAATGGCAGCTTGGAAGTGCTTCCAGTTGCTGCCAAGGCATGAAGATTCTGGGTCCAGTGCTAAGGACAGAATTTACTCACCCTGTGGAAAACTAATGGCTAAAAGAGAACAGATAACTAGACCGTGCCTTTTGCTATGAACATACCAGGAATTCAGTGCTCCCTGAATTTCCCAGTGGGGAATTCAGTCCTGGGAAAAAGGCATTGCAGCCCATGGCTTATCAGAGAATTACTGCTAAATGGAGAAAAGCTGACAACAAATATTTACCCTGGGATCAATTCTGTTGAAAGTGCAATGTTTGGAGCAGAGCTTGGACATGGGGAGGTCAGGCATAGGATCAAGGCTGTATTTATATAAAGACAGAGGGATATGCACTGGGAATACTTGCTTGGAAAGGGAAGAGACTGAAGGATTTTGAAAGACACACTATGAAGATCTTGATTTTTGTCCTCACACTGACCGTTTTCTCATGTTCAGGTAAGTTGGAGCCTCGTCCTCCTTCTTAGGGTGGTTTTGGGTGGAAAAGCTCACACCTGCAATGAACTTCTGATGGAACTGTGCCTCCCCCTCAGGGTTTCCAGCATATGACTATGCCCTCCCTGTCGCAGAAGAGGCTCTCAATGCTTCCATTGCACGGATCAATTCCCAGTCATGGAGCAGAAACCTGTATGGTGTTGTCAGGAGCCGAGTCATGGGAGTAAGTACGCAGACAACGGAGATCCTTTACCTGAATTGTGCTTTACTGGGGTGGAAAACTCTTTTCCAGTCCTGGAAACCCAGATTTAGTTGGAGTTGGCTGATGCTGCTTGGAAGAGGGTGGGTTTGGGTCACTATCTGAAGTTATGGTTTTAGTAACCTAAATATCTTTTGTATGTAAGTTTATAATTAAAATACTTTAGGAATTCCTATTTTTCACACCTAGAGATGTTCTTGAGGGTTATCTTGTAGGATTTTGTTCAAAAGTGATGTTTTTAAATACTTCCAGCTAACTGCTTTGCTTTGGGCATGAAGCAACCTGGTTCCTCTGAAGCTCTTTGCTGATTAAATGCCCCCACAATTCAGGATTCTTTCTCTGATCCTTTTTTATGTCATATGTCTCTACGCACCAATTCTGGTTTAAAGCTGCTGGAGTCTACGTGCAAGCAGGAAACCCCTATCTGTTTTAATATTCTAGATGCTCCCTGAGTTAAGGAGTTAAAACTTCTATATTCAAAGTTGTAGTGTCCATGTTCCTGAACACCCTCAGAACCTTTCTGTTTCTTTAGGTGGCCTATATCAAGTCTTCTGTAAGAATGAATGTCAAGATGATGTATGGATTCATACCCCCAAGTATTTGAAAGTAGTGGGAATTTGTCGTTTGTTGGATTTTTTTGGGGTGGAGCATTGCTTTTGCATTTTTTTCCCCCTAGTCTCCCATCTTGAGCTAAGGCACTGATTGGACTATGAGAATGAGAAAAGAATAACCAAAAAGGACTAATGCTGTGTTGTGTTGACCCTGCTTTCCCCAGGTGGACATGTGGGACAGCGATACTTACGGGTTAGATCTGCAGTTCAGCATCCGTGAGACCGTGTGCCCCAAAGCTTCGGGGAGAGACCCCTTCACCTGTGACTTCAGAGCTGGGCCTTTCGTGGTGGGTGCTCCTGCTGGGAATGGGAACCCTCCCCTCCCTCCATGCAGCATTTCCTCGGGATGGTGCTGCTGGTGCTGGGAAATGAGAGATGGCTGGCTGCTTTTGACACAAGCTGCAGTATGGAGTGGGTGTCGGGTGGGAAGGGTCAGTGGTGGGAAGCTCTTCTTGCCTGCTCTGTGGTGAGGGCAGGGAGCTGGAAGGAGGATTTGTGTCTGGGAGCAGCGTGTAGTGAAGGTATGTGTGCTTTTGGGGCCAAATCCTAGAAGCAATGGCTTGGTCTCTAAGGTGAGAGGGTAGAAGAGCTGATATTTCACTTGCTTTTACCTATCTGTGACCACATAAAGCGTTATCTTCCCGTGTCATGCAGATCCCCCCTCTGTGCTGACAGTGCTGATCTCTTTCAAATTTTTCACTCTCAGCCTGAAGTAAAAAGGCTGTTGATACAGACTCCCCTCTGAGTCTTAAATCACCAGCTTTGGTGGAAATACATTGTCTTTGAGTCTGGGCTTCTCTGTGTACAGTTACTTGGGCCAAATCTCCTCTCCATCCTGGAGCTAAGCAGCTCATGCGTGTCTGTAGGTGGCACCACAGAAAATCGTTGGTTATTGCTTTGCTGTTTTTCTTTAAAAACACAAATGTTGGCTGCTACAGTATTATCACTGTATCCTAAACTGACACCATCCCCCTCTTCTTCTTGGGGCAATATGTCCGTGTGAGGATGTGTTTTCCAAACTTGAGTTCACGTTTTGCTGCAGTTTTTTGTGAGATTGCAGAGACAATACCTTTAAGGTATTGCCGTTGGTGTAGCCCTGCACTGTTCTTCTCTTTGTGCTGAGCTGTGAAAAGGATGTGGAGGTTTTCTCCTACCCCGAACAGGCTCAGAGGTCTGTACAACAAACATGTAGTTGTGGAGCAATAGCCTGTGTGTCGTTGTGTATAATCATTCTCGGGTTTCTTTCTTTTGGAATTTGTTTTTTAAGTCCTGCAGGTTCCCACCACCAATGAGACTCCCATGAGAGGGTTTGTATTGGATGTTTGCTGTGTGAGATTGGATCTGGTTTGTTCTGTTACAGCCCACTGCTTCCTGCAGGAGTGTTGTGGAAGTCTCCGGGGAGCTGATTGCCAACATCACCGTGCGGTGCCATCGCAGCACATTCAGCTCTGAATCCATGAGCAGCGAGGAGGTGGGGAAGGGGAAAACCCATTTTTGCTGCCTGGAGGAGTGAAAATTCTGCTTACCCTCTTTTAAAGGGAAGTCAGGTGTCTGTGTGTGCTCCTGTTACAGCTGGAGGTGTGGATCAGGAAAGTGGCCGTAGTCTGACTTCCCTTTCAGTGGAGGGCTCTGACCTTGCCTGGGAGGCGTGACTCTCTGTGGCAGTCTGACAAATCTGTCAACTCCAGCACCTCCTTCATCGAGTATGGGCCTGGAGAACAGTGACTGGCACTTCTTAGACACACACAAATCCCTATGGCTCTGGCTCTGTTACCAAACCAGCTGCCAGCTGAGCACGTCACCACAGTACACCCCACAGACATTTGGTCTGCTGAGATCTTTGTTCCCTTTTTGAGCTCTTTTTTTGGTTTTTAGGGTGTTATTCAGTGCTGACCTAACCTGGGAATTCCTGCTGGCTGTTTTCAAACTGTGCCAGTGTCCACTTCATCCATCAACTGATGCTTGCTTGTGTGTCTGCACTTAGAACACAGCTCTACAGTGTGTGTTGTGCTTGAGGGAACAAAGTTTAACAAGCAAGGTTATGGACAGCTTTTATTTTTTGAAAACTCAGGGAGCTAAATAGAGAAGTTGAATTGTAGAATCACAGAGTGGTTTGCATTGAAGGATCCTTAAAGCCCAATGAGCCCTACCCCTGCCATGGGCAGGGACACCTTCCACTGTCCTAGGCTGCTCCAAGCTCCAATGTCCAACCTGGCCTGGGACACTTCCAGGAATCCCGGGGCAGCCACAGCTGCTCTGGGCACCCTGTGCCAGGGCCTGCCCACCCTCCCAGGGAACAATTCCTTCCCAATATCCCATCCAACTCTGCTCTCCTTCAACTTATGGCCAGTCTTCCTTGTCCAGTCAGTTCAAGCCCTTGTCCCAGTCCCTCTCCAGCTGCCTTGTAAGCAAATAGGATTCTTTGTTACTTTCCCTTGGCTTGAATTGTCAAATTAGCTCTTCATTTATTCCTTTTTTTTTTTTCAAAATCTCCATTCAGAGCTGGCTAGCGAGGGCATCCCAGGAAGCCTGGCTCTGCAGGGCAGAAAGACTGCATAGGAAGCACTGGAATGTGTAACACAGCCTGGGATGTTCAGCCAGCCCTCTGTGGGTTGACATAACCGTTGTTTAACAGGGCACTCAGCACAAACACTTGCTTTTACATGCAGACATCTTCCCCCAAATCTTCCTTAACCATCACTTAAAATTCAGTGCTGTTGCCAATATTCCTGCTGGGGAATATGTTTCCTGCAATGTTAATAAGGAATAAATGCCAAAGGGAATTACTGCACTTGAAAAATAAAGTGTTTCTCTCTGCAGAGGGCTGCAGCAAGTGCACTGTAGCTCTTGCTGTGCAGCTGTAACTCTGCTCAGGGGATCTCAGCTTGGCTGAGGTGGTGTTGGTGTACCTGTGGTGGTGTTTGTACGGGAGAAGGAGCTGTGATTGACTGAGGCTGGCATCACAGAATATCCCAAGTTTGACAGGATCATGGAGTCCAACCCCTCTGGACTGCAGGTGTACCAGTGAAATTAAGAATGAGGTTTGGAATTACTTTAGTGACCACTTAGTGCCTGAGGAAATGAAGAGGTGGGAATTCTTGCCAGGTGAGTTTTTTAAAGAAATGTCTTTGATTTCCAGATGATGCATGTGCCAATAATGACCCCTGACAGGCAAGGCAGCGCTCGCAGGGAAGGTAAGCCAGTTTTGCCATGCTGGAATACCCTGACCTGTGTTTTCCTCTTGGAACCTCTCAAGATAATTTGTCTGAGGGAGAAGACAATGTGAAAGATCAGCTGTTTGCTCCTGCTCGTGGGCAGCTGGTTTTTTCCTTGCAGGGGGGTGTCTAGTTGAGGGTGCAGGGAGGGCACTGTCCTGCCAAGCCAGGCCATGCTGAGGTTTATACATTTCTTGGATTGCCAGATTTGTGCTCTCATCACCAGCACTTGTATGCAGAATGCAATGCTGAGTATTTTCTATTCTAGAATCACCGATTGGTTTGGGTTGGAAGGGGTCTGAAAGATCATCTTGTCCCACTGCCTGCTGTGGGCAGGGACACCTTCCACTATCCCAGGTTGCTCCAAGCCCTGTACAGCCTAGCCCTGAACACTTGCAGGGATGGGGCAGCTACAGCTTCTCTGGGCAACAATCAACACAAGTTGGAAAGCACCTCTTGCTCACAGATGTCTCCATGTTCCTTTTTTAGATGATGTCTTTGCTCCTGAAGCCTTCCCTTCAAGGGGAAGAGGCAGCAGCCATGGAGACTGGAACAAACCCAGCTACCTCAGCCCTAACAAGATGGAATAACCTGGCTTGGGTGAGTGTGGGTTAGCGTTAGAGTTGGGAGAGTCAAAGAACCTACAGCTCCAGGAGCACTGGGGCTGCAAAAGGCCATCCCAGCAGGGCCCCACCTTTGCTGCTCTTACATCTTTCTGATCTGGATCACCCATGGTGATGGAGTTCGGGTTAGGCTTAGGCTTAGGGTTAGACTTAGGGTTAGGGTTAGTTTGATACACCCTAGGTCTGCAGGTTTTGTGGCAGGGTGGGGAAGTGACTGCTCAGGATGAGGGACTTGTAGCTGCTTCACTCCTCAGAAGACACCCCAGCTACAGAGCTCATGGCTGTCACTCACTTTTGAGTTGTCTATCCTGTATCCTCTGACGTACACCAGTGTCCTGGGCTACAGGTAGTGTGAAAAGCATGCAGGAAAGTCCATTTGTAAACTCAGAGTTTGAGTTTAGTGTAGGGCTCTAGCCTTTTCCCCTCCATTTTCCTTGTGACAAGGACAGCGAGGGGCTGGAGCATGTCCAGAGAAGAGATCTAGAGGAATGGCCGTGTCTTTGTGCCAAATCAGCTGCCCCAGGGCCACACAGCTCCTCAAACAAAAACTGAAGCGACCTGGGAGAACCACCACGGTGTAGTCTGCACGGGAGAAACACTTGTCTTGTCTATGGGAATCCGTAAAGGAGATGTTTGGAAGCCAATTAACGGGAATGATAATTAGATTTATTGGAGCTGGCAGGGCCTGTCCTACACAAAGAACCTCTGCTGACCTGCCTCTGCAGCTCTGTGTGGGAGCAGCTCTAATTGCTGCTGATGCTTTACCTGCTGTCTTAGGGAGCTTAATCTGAAGGGAAGTGGTTTGAAAGAGTTTCAGCAACATGGAATGAGCTCATTCTTTGGCACGCTAAACAGGTTTAAAGCAGTTGGGGAAGGGAAGAGGAAATCACTTAGTGCTCTGTCCTTGTGATTAAAAAGGCTCGGGTACATACCATTAGCAGGTCTCTGTCCCTGTGGAGTGCCAGAACTGAGCTCTCCCTGTGTGTGGAGCTCAGCTCCAGCCTGCTGCGTCGGGAATGAGACAGTTTTAGATGGAATTTAGCACCGGTGACTCACCAAAAGCTAACACATGTTACTCATAAGCATATCCGTGGTAAAGCTCGATGTGCTGAAGGAGACAAGCCTCCTGCTCTCCTGGAAACGAGATATCAAAGGAAAACCCAGGCACTCTGCTCTGTTTGTAAGAATTATTTCATTAAATCCATATGCTATTTTAATTTATCCCTGAGCCACTAAAGCCAATAGGCCTTTTTAATCACTGCCTGTCTTCTTACAGGAATCTCCAACTTTTCTTTGCCTTTGGAAAGTGCCAGGTATCTTTAATTCTCTGGCTCTCAATAAGAGCTATCCCCTTTAAGCAGCACTCAGAAATGCTTTGTGTTCTTGCATCTAACAAATCTCCAAACCAAAAGCAAGATGCAAAATCTTCCTGAAAATAGAACATGAAATTTATGGTTCTTGAAACCCTGAGCATTTAGAAATTTAATACTTTCTGCCTGCTCTCAGAGATGGGTTGCAAGTGTCATTTATGGAGCTGTATTTCATGCAAGTGTCATCGATGGAGCTGTGTTTCCGATGAGTTTCCTGGGTTTTGGACATGTCAGAGGCAGAAACATCAGATTTAAAGAGAATATTAATTCCACCCCCAAAGCCCCTTGTTTCTATTGATTTTATCAATTTGATTTATTAGTTGCAAGGTCTGGAGAGGAATCTCCCTGATTTTGCTCGTATTCAGAATTAGAGGATTTCATTTCAAGCCAAAAATTAAACAGATTTCATGTGTCTGAGGCCAGGAAAACTTATTCCCTGCTGTTTTCCCTGGGTTTTGGCATATGTGTGATCCTGGCTGGCATTATTACAAGCCATGCAGGGTTTGGTGGGGGCATGGGAAATGAGTGCTGAGTTTTGAAATGGCAGTAGGTTCGACTGGCTTAGCTTAGCTGAGAAGATTTTGGGGGAGGCTGGGGAAATAGCAATTTAATAATAGAAGACTTTCATCTCTCACTGAAAGAACCTGGTGCTGACAGGCAAAGCTAGACAAGTCCAGGTAAGAAATGAAATGTGATTTTTTTTCCCCTTTACACACCAGAATGGGTAACTGACTGCTGCAAAAATTGTTCAGGCAAGTGGCTGACAGTTTTTCATGCTGGATTTTACATTTCTGAGCTAGGCCTTCTTATCTTTTTGGCTTCAGGAATTATTTCAGGAGAATTCTGTGCCTGACTTTGTGCAAGAAGCTAGGCTAAATGAACACTGGTGCTTTGTAGTTCTCTTTATTTATTAGGATGGGCTAAATATTCAGGAGAAAAAAATCAGTGCCATTGTTATATAAAGAACGTTTTCAAGTCTGCAATCTTCAGACCCACCAGTCTGCTGGTGCCTGCAGGAATTAGAAATTGAATATGAAAAACCCCATCAATGATTAATGAGCTTACTTCAGTGACAAGTCCTAATCAGATTTTCTGGATTTATTTCCTCGTCCATCTCCAGAACTGGGGAGATTGTGAAATTCCCGTGGCATGCTCTGGGGCAAGGCTGTCCCATAAATAGCTAAGGCACACAGGGAGTGACAGGAGGGGGGAAAGCTGCTGTACAAGAGCTGATCACCTGTTAACAGCCTCGATTCCATCGAGTTGGATTCTGCTTAATGCTGCTCATGACCCTGAATTGCAAAGAGGAGCCTAAAAATGGCTCAGACTTGCTGACCATCTCAATCCCCAGGGAGCAAAAGGGCCCTGATGCTTTGCTCTTCTAAAATCAGCTGCCTGAGGCGTTTTTTTCTTGTGCAGACCCGTGAATTGTATCTGGAGTCTTCCCAGCAAAGCTTCATGTCCTTGAACAGGAAAATCAAGAAGCAAGTTCCTGCCTTTGGAAAATACATGTAGATGGTGAATGCTGATTGTGTCTCACTTGTTAATCACACAAGAAAAGTGGGGCTTTTTTAACAGAAAATCAACTTCCTTCAGCATCAAGCCAAGGGGCTGTGATTTTCCTTCCAATCGCTCTCTGACTGAGGGCTCTGTCACCTGGCACAGCTCGCTGCTGGCAGGAGGGTGCTGGTGGCACTCGTGAGGAGCTGATCAGCAGCACTGCACGTGCAGAAGTGGATAGACTGGCATCCTTAAATATCAGAGTGGGGTTGTTTTTTTTTTTTCAATGGAAGAGTAACAGGCAGCATTGGGCCTCTTCCCATACCTAAGAAATACAGCATCTGAGCTTCAGGTGAAATGGTTGCTTGTTTATCTGTCTCCTATGAATATAATAACAGAGCAGGGTTCACAGCTCTCCTGGGGTATGGAAAACTGAGCTTTAATCCCCAGTGTCCTCATTAAGGAGCTGCTTGACTTTAGTTGCCATTTTATATCCTCATGTCTTTGGTTTTGCCTCTCCTGTTCACCCACCCACTTTCTAGGGTTCTCATAAAGCAGCTTACTGCTTTCTGTGGGAAAAAAAAAAGAAGAAGAAGAAGAAGAAAGGAGTGAAGCACCAGAGGGAAGGAAAATCCCTGCAGGGTGGGATCTGTTGCAGAGTGCGTGAGCCCTGTGTCAGAGGGGCTTTGGGAGGAGTAGGGTGCTTGGGGAAATGCCAGGCTGCTGTTTTATCCCTCCTGCCACCCAGCCTGGCCGTGACGGCCGAGTCCTCGGTGTCCCCTGTCGGCTGTGATGCGCTGTGGCAGGGGACAACGTGCTCTCACCTGTTCAGAGGCAAAGGACTCGGAGTGAAGCAGAGCCAGGCAGGACCTTTCCTGCTGCCTAGGCATGGGGCAGAGGTGTTAGAGCAGAGAGCAGAATCGCTGTGACAGCCTCCTGGTGCTGTGAACAGCAGCATTTTTTGTCTTGCCCTTTGTCCCCCCCCCCGCTTCTTGATCTCTTTTGAAGGATTAGACCCACAGCTGCATGGACGAAATTGTTCCTGCTTAGGGAGAAAGTAGAGCTTGGTTGGATGATCTGTTTCAATTCACAAGCCCCTCCATCTAATTCCAGGAGAAAACCAGCAGGACTTCCTTCACTTCAAGAACAGAAAGGGCTCTCGACTGCCCTCAACCTATTGCTCAGTACTGGATTTTAGAAATGAGCTCGTCAAAGAATCAGGGAAGAAGAATCTCTCAAGGCGGGGCTGTGTAGCTGAGGTTGGAATACCATGGGATAGAGATCCCTCATCCTCTTTGTCTTTCCAGACAGGAACCCTCTTCGGGGAAAACTTTCTCCTTAAACTGAGCTGGAATTTCCCGTGTTCCCTCTGGTTCCTGCTTCTTCTGCTGTCCCTTGGTCCCCAGCAATGATTGCAGTGGCTGGTCCTGGCATCCCCCATCTCCAGGACCAGGCAGAATTCAGGGGCTTCTGGACAAGCTGTTCCTAGAGAGTCACTATATTTAATCCTTTCCACACGTGTGGACTCTCCTTCCTTGCCTGAATTGATCTCTAAAATTTTACTAACAAAACTGTCTTCCAGTAAAATTTCAGGTTGCCGTGGCGACCAACTTGCTGAAGACACAGTGTAGGCTACAGAGTGCTGGGGAAACTGTCACATGTTCCCTCCACATCTCCCATTTCTTCTGAATGTTGTACTCTCAATTCAGATCCATTTCAGAGCAGACCATATATCACCTTCCAGCCTCAGCCCTCTCTGCTTTTGAGGCTTGACAAGACGCCTTGATTTGTGTCCCGTGGGTCTTATTTCACTGTTGTTTTTTCTAACACTCTGCTTCTTTTTATTCCTTTTTTTCTTTTACCCTAATTAGCCATTGCCATGACATTTGTGCACATATGAAATGTTTTGCATGTGCAGGTTTCTTTTTTTTGCGGATTCCACAGGGTGGGATGCAAATTAATAAGCAACTTGTTGAAGCTGAATACACTTCTCCCAAAGATGTTTGGTTGGTTCTGAGACAAATTCTCTGCTCTGACATTTCTCCTTCCTCTCTGTTTTTAAAGTAGATTGGAGAATGAGAAGAGTCAAGATTTAAAGATCCAGCATGGGAAGAAAGAACCTGACGCCTTGGCCTTTCCTTTTTGGTGAAAAAAGTGTTGGACTGAGAGTTCTTCTCCAAACTCGCCTTCTACTCTGATGGCAATTGAAGGAGCTCATGAAATGCTAAATACACCCTCATCCATCGATAGCCCTTCTGATGTGTTAGTTCTCCAGGGAGAACTCGAATTTAACTGTATCCAGGACATTTCCACCATTCCGTAATGATGCTATTAAAAGCCCGTTATTCCATTTGTTCTGCGTTTCTCTCTGCTTGCTTGTAATTTTCTGTGATGCTCGCGGCTAATTATTGATTATTCAAACGAATACAACCCACGCTTAATTCCTCTCTCTCTGGGCCGCAGCAGCTGCGGACAGAGAAACCTCGCTCCAAATCCAGAGGCTGGAGTTGTAGCCCACCAGGAATCTGGCTTTAATGGGTCGCTAACGTGGAAAGCTGAGGGCTGCTAATGACGGTGATTGTCAGGTGCTAATGGCTTTTGGATGAAGGCCAGGTTAGAACAGACCTCTGATGTGTTCCTCACCTGGGAAAGGTCCGAGCAGGCTCGTCCCGTTCTCTCCACTCCCTGCACAGAGCCCACCCTGCGCCTCTTTGCGAAATTGAAGGTTATTGTGCAGCTTGGGGCGTTCTTGTTGGGTTTTTTTAAGGCTTTATCAAAATCAACTGATTTTTCTCTCTAAGGCCACTCTCCCACCCAGTTTGACTCTCACCTAATTTTCCCTCCTGGTTGCAGCGAGGTAATCTGATTTGTAGGGATTTCCATCTCAAAAGCTTGAGAAAACCTTAGTCAGAGCCCTCGATGATCACCTGTAGCAGGGAGCAGAGGATGCTGATACCCTGCCCAGGTCTGACAGAAAGGGATGTTTTCCTTTCCCACGGTTGTTTTGTTTTGCTTGGATGAACGGGACTGGGAACATCACGCCTTCAGGGCCAGGTTGGACACGGGCTTGGAGCACCCTGGGATAGTGGGAGGTGTCCCTGCCCGTGGCAGGGAGGTGGGAATGAGATGAGATTTAGGTCCCTTCCCACCCAAACCGGCCTGAGATTCCATGATTCCTTTGCTCTGAATGCGCAGTGCTGGAGTCTTTCATGATCTGTCTCTCTTCCAAATTTTTGCTGAGAATCTTCTTTCTCAGTAGGGCTGATTTCACCTGTCTGTGCTGATTTTAGGTAGAACCACGACTCTTCACTGGACAAGAACAGCTTAGGTGCTTTCCGAAATTCCTGAGCTCAAAGAGATTGTGGCTTAGGTTTTTATATGTGTTTTACTGGCCCAGGTGAGCAGAAGAACTTCCTGGCCTGTTTCTCCAAGACCTGGCTCTGTTTCCTGGAAACAAACGTGGATTAACACAGGAAACAGCTTCAGCTGGGCTTGTACTCGTCCCTGTTTCACTCTTGCTTTTCCCAGTTTCCCAACAGACAGTTCTCAGGGCCGGGAGTTGGACTTGACAATCCTTGTGGGCCTCTCTGACTCAGGATATTCTATGGCTCTATATTTTGCTGACATGTGATAATTAAATGTGCACTTCTCTACACACACACTCCCCCCCATAAAAAGGGGGGGGAAAAACTCTTTTTTTTTTTTTTTTTTCCCAATTTTTTTCCAATTATTTTTTTCTCCCAAGCCAAAATGATTACAAGGTACTTTAAGCTCCTGGCTTCATGCATGCAAATGCCTTCACACCTAGGAGCTGATGTGGCATCTGCTGTGCAGATGTTTATCTGGCAGCAGGGAGCAATATTTCCTTTGTCCACATTGCTTTCCTGAGCCTTTCCTGGTCTCAAATCGCTGACTCAAGCACTCGATGCTCCAGCATACCGATGATCCTTGCTAGGGATGCTGCTTTCCAACTCCCCTGGCTGAGAGTTTGGTTTGTGTAAGCAGACCATGAGTTTTGTTGCTGGATTTTGCTTGGAGAGTGGAGATTTATGTTGCAGCAGGGACAGGGAGGGAACTTTCCCTGCACCCTTAGAGGGACTAGTTGCCCTGGAAGGAATGTGCAGAGTAGAAATTCTGTCCTCTTGCAGACTTTGAGGCTGTTCAGAAACTCTGAGGCAGCAAAAAAAAGAAAGGAGACAGCAAAGCCATGGGAGATGAGACTGGGGCTTGCTGCACACAGAGACTTTGTGAGTGTTTGAGCTTTCCTCACCAAAAGGTGAAATATTGTCACCCTTGCAATGCTGTAGCATGAGGAAAGAAGTGAGAGTTTGGATTTCTGTAGTGATTTGGGGAATGAAGAGGAGCAACTGCGGCTTTGCACAGGGGACAGGACACCTGGCCCCTGCCCAGACCTCCAGCACTGCAGTCTGTCCCCAGGGAAGAGTGGAAACTGCTGACTTCTTGCTCTCTGAGAAAAGCAGTCAAACCTGCATCCGTGGCAGAATCGCTCCTTTTATATTCATTTTCTCTGTTTGGTTTTTTTGTACACCCTGACACTTTTTATGCTGACAGTGTCTGGGCAGGAATTCCCATGATGTGGGATGGATGAGGGACTATACCACGCAGTGATGCTGCAGAAAAACTGGGCTCAGTTCCCTTCTCTCCCTTCAGTCAGCACTTGTGGAATTTGGGCTACAGGATGCCACAGCATTTCATTTCCCAGATCCTCTTTTTGGGCATCGTGGCACAGATGCTCAGTGATGGACACCCCTGGAAGTGTTCACGGTCAGGTTGGACTGTGCTTGGAGCAGCCTGGTCTAGTGGAAGGTGGCCTGAGATGGTCTTTAAGGTCCCTTCCAGGCCAGTCTGTGATTCTGTGGTCGCTGCCAGGCACTGGTGTGGTTTGTGCCACCATAGGACTGGTACTGGTGCGCTGGTAGCCCTATGTCAAATTCTGTCCACGTGGGCTAGCTGGGAATGGGTAGAGCTACCAGCAATAATGAGGGGCTCATTCCTACAGACAGCTAGGCAAAAAAAGTTCCCAAAGAGCAGAGATCATCAGCTGGATGGAGCCTAGCTAATTTTAGAGAGAAGGCTGCTGCTCATCCTGGAGGAATGTGCAGATTTCCGGGCATACGCTCTGCTGTCAGCAGCCTCAGCTCAGGTTGCTCATCCAGACTGACCCCTGGATGATCTCTCTGAAATGGAGAGGAGGCCTTAATTGCCAAACCCGTGTCCTGATTCAGCATGGGGAGCTGTTGGCAGCAGGACCTGAGTGTTTCCCATCGGCTGTGCCGTGGAGTGTGGGGTTGGCAGCACGTCTGCAAGGCTGAGCTCAGCATGGACGCTTGGGAGGATCCAAAGGAGACCCAGCTGTGCTGAGGGTGGAGAACATCCTCTGTAGCACAATAAATCCCTGCCTGATTCCACGGCTGTCGGTGAGCCTGGCTGGTCACTCCTGCTCCTCGCCGGTGCTGATGCCCACTAGATGTCACAATTGAATAAATGCAAGGGAAGGCAGCATCTCCCTTCTCAAATTATTCCCTTTTCCCCTCCTTTCTGATTTCTGGCCAGCTATGTGATAAAATGACCTCTGTGCAAGGAGGGTCGGTGTGTTTAAATGGTGAAGGGAACAGGGGATGCAGGGGAGAAATGACTGAGACAAAAAAATCCTGGCCAGGTTGGAGTGCTTGTTTTGCCTGTGGCAGCCTAGAGCTTAAATTCTGCTCCAGGCACAAAGATGGTTTTGCTTTTTACTCCGTGGGACGGTGGAATTTTCTTTCTCCTGCATGACAGACTTATCCTTTTTGATAAAACGGCTTTAAATCAAATTTCCCAGCCACCCCTTGCCTTGCCTGTGCAGTGCCTTTGGTAAGAGGGAAGCTAGAGAAATAAATGCTGCTTGTGGAGAGGGTTTGATTTTAGAGTTGAAGTCTTCTACCTGTTCCCAGCTCCCGTCTCAGCTCTTACTCAGGGGCTCAGCTCATTCACTGCAGCTGCTTAACTTTAGCAAGAGCATCCTAATGCCTCTTAAAGATTAGGTGTGCTAATTAATGCTTCCACAACCAGGGAGAAATTTGCTGCTGTCTGACATTCACAGCTGCCACAGTGTTTGCTCCTTTCAAACCTCCCGCTGGCTTTAAAATCCTGATTATTCCCGCCGCCCCCCCCCCCCTCCCTTTTTTTTTTCCCAGGACAAATTGTTGCCTCTGTCTCATGGCACAGTGGGAATTCTCTGAAGGAAATGATGTGCCAGCACTTGGTGGCAAAGGCTTCTGAGAGGGTGGTGGTGACATCTTCTGAGACAAATAAGGAGTCTGGGCTGGAAAACCAGCATTAGACCTGGAAAGGGGAGTCTTAAAACATGGGTCTCAACTCTTCCAAGGAAGTAAAGCTCCTGGAAGTGATCTAGGTGTTCTCTGGAGATTGAATCAGGGGGAGATTAGACTGGGAGAAATGTAGCCCAAGAAGGAAACTGGGATTTTGTGTTGGTCTCCAGAGACCAAACTGGTTTAGGGCATTATTTATCTGTGAGTCTTGAAGGAGGAGACCACCAGGAAAACCACAAAGCCTGGCAGGATCCCAGCGATTACAGGCCTTGATTAATGAGAGTTTAAGAAGAATCTTATGTGCTTTTGGAGAAGGAATATTTTTTTCTGAGCAGTGGAAAGGCAATGCTGCTGGCTGAGCCTCCTGATCTAGAATGAATAATGGAGAGGAAAAAAAAAAACAACCCAGCATCCCAAATGGAAGGCTGTGGATTTAAAGAGAAAAGGAAACCCCACAATCTCATCAAGAAGAGGTCCTGTGCAGAAGAATAGGGGCCAGAAACATTTCAACCCAGGGCTACACGACAGCTGTCGTTACTGGGATAGACCTTGTTGAATCTTCTAAGGTTGGAAAAGACCTTTAAAATCATCGAGTCCAACTGTCAACCTAAAGATGGGGTAACAAAACCCCAATAACTTTTTCCATACGTGTTTCAGAGGTCTTTGATTTCCTTTTGTGTTTGAATACTGGAGGCGGTCTTGTTCAAAGGTGAGAAATCTCCATCAGGCAGTCTTGCCAAGGGCTTTGGGAGCAGATAGAGTGGATAAAAAAGGCAAAACAGGAATCCCTAGGATGTTCTCTGATGCAGGGCCTTCTAAGGAATATTTTTATATCTTTCCTGTTTAGTGGAATGGTATTTTGAAGGGAAGAAGCTATGACTATGGGTAATGCTAGAACCTATTGCAAAAGCCTTTGAGTTGTTTGGTTTTCTAAGCTGGTATTTTATTAATTGTCAGCCTTTTATCCTCTTGGAGAGAACAGAAAAAAACCCACTTGTCCATGCAATTTTTTCCCAGCTTC